GCTGGCTTTGGAGGGGAGATATGACACATTAAGAGGTCTGATTAAGAGACTCTTACTACATAGCTTGTGACAAATTTTGTATTTTGTATTTTGATTACCCATGCCACTTTTCGTATCCCTTTCTATTTTGACTCGGGTTAACATCTAGTGAAGCCCTCTTTGTCGATGTTGTTGACATGGGATTAACCCTTCTCAGTAGCTTTGGTGGCTTACTAGCAGACGTAGTCAACTTTCCTCTTGGAGCTTCACACTGCAAAGACATAATATAAATTAAAAAATATCTCAAAAATTATCTCAGTCAGTCTTCAATTTTTTATGCTTAACTACGTATGTATCCTTCACCTATGCAACAGTTGTCATATTAGCTAACCACAAGTCTCTTCAATGCATAAAGTCAAAGTAAGACAGAAAATTGGTTAATTCATTTTAATGTGTCTATCCCTCGTATTGTTGCTGAAAAGTTTCTCTTCCTTAACAGTTCCATATCATTTGATGTCATTTACACAGTATAGCATGATGGATACAATTCTTTGGTATGCTATGTAAAAACATACCTGTGAAACTTGTCGATGCACAGAACCCTGCTTCCATGTCTTTCCTGATCCTTGAATGCAAACACTTGGCTTCTTAGGAGAAACTTTGTGTTTGATCTAAGAATGTTCAAAACAATGAGAAGTTTATTAAAACATGAAAGAAAAATAAAAGGAAGTCCAAAGCAGGCAACTGTTAATCAGAAATACCTTATTACAAATGAGGTCTGCGTTATTTGAGGCTAAAAGAGAAAAAAAGAAAAAAAAAACAAAAAAGCGCTGTTAATTTGATTAATTAGTAAAGAACACATAAATAAGCTGAATTCTAACATCCCCAACAAATATTCAGAAATTCAAGTAACAGACATTGTAGAGTTGAAAGTCTATACCACATATATTATCAAATTATGACTCTCAATTGCAAAATTAATCTGGAAACTAGGCTGATGCATCCAATGTTATTATATCTTACTAAGAACTATCCATAAATCAGAAGTGAAAAAAAAAATGCACATTAACTCTTGCATTTTGCATGGTCAGAAAATAGTGGCATACATATAACCGTCACGCTAAGATACCATAAATGCAAACTAAATAACGACAATGGTTTGTGTCAACTTGGTCCTGAAATTGTATGTAACTGGCAGGAATCATACTAAATGGAACAAATTCTCAGGTAAATAAAAGACATTGCAATGATGTTGGAAAAGCAACTAGCTGCTCTACTGAAAAAATAAGTAGAAAGAAAACTGAGAAAGAATAGTAGAATGCAGAAAAGACAAGTTAAAGACAACAGTGCTATTGGAGA